TCTGTGTCCCCATGTTTCCCTGCTGCCTTTCCCCCCCCCCATCCTTCACTTCCCTGAGCCGTAGTCTGTCTGCAGACTGGGAGCTGCTGTCTGAGCTCTCTGTACTGTGTAGCTGGTCCCCTGCGGATCAGTGAGTAGAGAGAGGCAGAGAGGGATATGATGTAATTTCCTATCCCTGCCTCTCTCCACACACAGTGACCCCTACTGGCTGGTGCTGCTATTGGAGAGTAATCTCCATTAATACTGAGAAAAATATCGGCATTTGTATTGCTGGTATTACTGCAATACCGGCATGGCCAGGCAGCCCCAAATACCGGCTGTGCTGGTAAAATACCAGTCAGGTGGCAAACCCATGAGTAGTGTGTAAAAAAATAAATAAATAAATAAATAAGTACAAAAAAAATGATTTTTTTTAAAATCAATGGGCCTATTCCATGGGCCTGGAGCTGCAGCTCCATCAGTCCCTATGTTAATTCGGCCCTGAATATATATATACTTTCATCCAAGTGTACATTTACAGTTGTGCTCAAAGGTTTACATACCCTTGGAGAATTAGTAAAATATGCACCATTTTTTAAAGAGTGAGCAGGCAAAACACATTTATTTTATTTTCTATGGCATTCATTTTCAACGGTTATAACAGAATGGCACAATCATAAAACAAATCATGGCAAAAAATAAAAAAATTAAATGACCCCTGTTCAAAATTCTGCATACCCTTAGTTCTTAATACTGTATATTGCCCCCTTTAGCATCAATGACAGTGTGCAGTCTTTTGTAATAGCTGTTTATGAGGACCCTAATTCTTGTAGGTGGTATAGCTGCCCATTCGTCTTGGCAAAATGTCTCCAGGTCTGCAAAATCTTTGGTCGTCTTGAACCGCATATTTGAGATCTCCCCAGAGTGGCTCGATAATATTAAGGTCAGAAAACTATGATGACCACTACAGAACCTTCACCTTTTTCTGCAGTTAATCACTGGAGGGTCAAGATGGCCTTGTGCTTAGGGTCATTGTCAGGCTGGAAAGTCCAAGAGCATCCCACTCGCAGCCTTCGTGCAGAAGAATGCAAATCGTCTTTTCTGATAGCATGCTGCATTCACCTTGCCATAATTTTTCACAAGATTCCCTGTGCCTTTCGAGCTCACACACCCCTAAAACATCAGTGATCCACCGCCATGCTTCACAGTGAGGAAGGTATTCATTTCACTATAGGCATTGTTGACCCCTCTCCAAACATAGTGCTTATGGTTGTGATCATAAATCTCTATTTTGGTCTCATCACTCCAAATTACTGTGTGCCAGAAGCTGTCAAGATGTTGTCGGGCATATTGCAGACAGGCTTTTTTGTGGCATTGGCGCAGTGAAAGCTTCTTCCAGGAAACTCGACAATGAGGCTCATTTTTGTTCAAGTATCATCATATTGTGCTCCTTGAAACAACTACACCATCTTTTTCCAGAGCAGCCTGTATTTCTCCTGAGTTTACCTGTGGGTTTTACTTTGTATCCCGAACAATTCCTCTGATAGTCGCGGCTGAAATCTGATGGAAAAGGATATAAAAAGATATCCAAAGCCTTGAAAATGTCAGTCAGTATTCTTCAATCACTTTTAAGAAGTGGAAAATTCAGGGATCTCTTGATACCAAGCCAAGGCAAACCATCTAACCTTGGCTTTGTATCAAGAGATCCCTGAATTTTCCACTTCTTAAAAGTGATTGAACAGTACTGACTAACATTTTCAAGGCTTTGGATATCTTTTTATATAATTTTCGATCTTTATAAAGTTTCACTACCCTGTTAAGTAGGTCTTTTGACAGTTCTTTTCTGCTCCCCATGGCTCAGTATCTAGCCTGCTCAGTGCATCCATGTGAGAGCTAACAAACTCATTGACTATTTTTACACAGATACTAATTGCAATTTAAAAATCCGCAGGTGTGGGATATTAACCATTAATTGACATTTTAACCTGTGTGTGTCACCTTGTGTGTCTGTAACAAGGCCAAACATGCAAGGGTGTGTGAACTTTTGATCAGGGCCATTTGGGTGATTTATTTTAACATTATTATTTAAAAAAGAGCTAAACAACTATGTGATAATAAATGGCTTCATATGATCACACTATCCTTCACTAAAATACATTTTTTTGCATGATCAATCATATTTTCAAAAACAATGCAAAAATTTCACAATTTCTGCCAGGGTATGCAAACGTTTGAGCACAACTGAAAGCATCATTGTTGTAAAATTAAGTTAATATATGAATTATAAGTTGGGGGATCTGCCTGACAGCCAATCTGTTAATGACGCAGATCCAGGTCGTGTGATCACATTGTCATTGGTTTTCAATAAGTTCCCCCAATCGGATCTGGTGAGGAGGGTAAGTACACAGGCAGAAAGGAGGGTCTGATCATTAGGCGCGCTATGCCACTGTAATGGCGTTAAAGATCTCCTTTTGTAGCATAGCACTCTCTAATGTTGGAAAAAAGTTAATGATGTGTATAATCGATGTGCAGAACAAAGCTCTGCAGCAATAATACTCACAGTAATGTGTATTTAAAATGCAATAAATGTGTTTAGAAATCAGCCTTTGTAAATAAGAAAAAGATTTCTTGCTCTAAATGACATTTTAGTTCCATAATTTATTAGTTAGTCACTTAAAATTTCCCAGGACTTAAAATAAAAGTGCCTTTGTCCATTTGAAATGTTTGAAGGTATGTAATGTGCATGCATCATAAAGCATGAGCAGCATATGTTAATAAGCAAGAATTCTTTTAAAATATTGTGACCCATAAGTATGGTGGCTGCTTCCACAAGTATTTCAATTTTTGTGGATTTTAACTACATTCCATACATTATGTACAAGTTATTTTCTTCGGTATATTGTATCACATGGTTTAAACAGATATCCTGAAGTGAAACTGTGAATTTGTATAAGTGTTAGGTTTTCATAGAGTGAATTTCAACCTTTTACATTGCTATTTTCTTCTAATTGGAGACTGCGGCTTTTTAGTACGTGATTCAGTAGCAGAGCATCATTTTAGATACATAAATTAGACTAGAAGTGACTCTCAATGCCCCAACTTGAAGTCATACTAATATGATGCAAGGGATCATTATACTGACTGCAAGTAAGCCAGATATATCATTTAAACCACACAAGCTACACTTCGCCAACAAAGTAAAAAGGCTATTTTATTATGTGAGAAGAATGCACATAGTATGTGGCAATTTTAATAAATATTAAACATTAAAAAAATAAGCAGGTCACCATACAGTTTGTAAAAATTTGGTAACATTTATTTAGGTTTTATAAATATATTGGAATTAAATGTTTATCATTTGCTAAATTAACACCTTAAAGGACCACTCTAGGCACCCAGACCACTTCAGCTTAATGAAGTGGTCTGGGTGCCAGGTCCTTCTAGGGTTAACCCATTTTTTCATAATTATAGCAGTTTCAGAGAAACTGCTATGTTTATGAATGGGTTAAGCTTTCCCCCATTCCCTCTAGTGGCTGTCTCATTGACAGACACTAGAGGCGCTTGCGTGCTTCTCACTGTGATTTTCACAGTGAGAGCACGCCAGCGTCCATAGGAAAGCATTGCAAATGCTTTCCTATGAGACCGGCTGAATGCGCGCGCAGCTCTTGCCGCGCGTGCGCATTCAGCCGGCGGGGCGTAACGGAGGCGGAGAGGAGGAGGAGAGCTCTCCGCCCAGCGCTGGAAAAAGGTAAGTTTTTACCCCTTTCCTCCTTCCAGAGCCGGGCGGGAGGGGGTCCCTGAGGGTGGGGGCACCCTCAGGGCACTATAGTGCCAGGAAAACGAGTATGTTTTCCTGGCACTATAGTGGTCCTTTAAATTAGACACTTGGTTTCAATAAATACCATACCTAGAGTTCTAACACTTTTGTAAATCAGTCTGTCACACCTAGACAGAAGGCCCTATTACTAATACAAAGCTATCTTAACCCCTTAAGGACCAAACTTCTGGAATAAAAGGGAATCATGACATGTCACACATGTCGTGTGTCCTTAAGGGGTTAAAAAACATGGAGGTAGAATGGGTGGGGTACGTGATTAAAGGAAGC